CCCTCTGCCTGTCCTATAGCAGAGAGAGGACACTCATAAGGACAAGAAGAGAGCAGCATCTTCCTCAGCCCCATAGCATGTACAATGTCAGCAAAGTGGGAACCTATGGTACTAGGAAAAAAAATTATGGAAGCACCACTGAATCATGGGACTATCTTATTGCTTCTGATTTAAGTTCCAAAGAGGCAGCAGCATTAAAAAAAGGCAAACCAAGAATTTGACAGTCAAGATGTCACACTGAAAGCATGGATTATGGCATTGTCTAAGCCCTCATACAGTGATCCATACTTTTTTTTTTTTGGTCATTAGAAGTTTATATACCATAAAAGAAAACACTCAGAGAAATTCCAGAGCATAAAATATTGGGTGGTCAATCCAAATATTAGAAAAGTTTGCTCAAAAATTGATGAAAATGGACAACACTTTTGAACTTTATGGCCAGTATACTCTTCTCCCCCATAGGATTTTTAGCAGCACCTATTTTTCCTTGTGGAACTGTATTGCACCTTTCAGTGAAACATTTTCTGAAATGCTTTTCAGGGCTGTGAATTGGCATGGATTTATCCAACCCACACTTCACCCTTATGGCCTGGCTTCAGAGACTATTCACTGTATTTTCAGTCTGGCTCCCACGTTTTTCTTTTCACAGCTCTCATATTTTTCATTTGGAAAGGCTGCGCAATATAGGATTGTTTGTTTGTATATATCGTAAAGATTTTGCTTTATTCTTCTTCAGTAGCATGCATGTATCTGACAGCTCATAAAGACCTGCTTGTGTGGTGTGTTGAGTCCTGTTGATGAAAATCTAGTTGCTGAAGGGCCAGGGTGTCCTGTCTGGCATTTTAAACGGTCACCAAACAAAAAGATGGAAGATGTTTACATTGTTACTGCAGCTAAGAGGTTTGGAAAGTCACATCCATCAGTAACTGGTTAATAATGTTTTCTTCTCTTTTTTTCTGTTCAGAACAAATCTGTTGTGCTTTGCTGGGAGCTGGGAAAGAGCTGTGTTAATTGACATTTGTGTTTCTTCCTTTAAATATCCCTACTTTGAGTGCAGGAGCCATGCATCATCCAAGACCAGGCAGAGCCCATACAAAGGCAACAGAAATGGGAATACTCTGCAGGAGTGTGTTTCCAAAACCCTGGGTTTTCTTCGGGATTATGAACATTTCTCGGTAAATTTGGATGTGGTAGAGAGCTATGGAGTGTGCTGACCTCTGGTTGGACGACCTGTCCTCTAAGAGCAATTCAACTATAGGTGTCCTGCCCATCAAACCTCTGCCCCAAGACTCCTGGAGGCACCTACACACAAAAGTACACCAATCCCACTTTGTAAGGGAGGGAATTTGTTCAGCTAATTTGTCTCAGTTCATAAAGCACTGAAACACTCACCAGCCTTTTGGGCTCTGCCTTTCACTCAGATTTTCTTAGACGAAACATTTTGCACAATATTTTGAGAATGTTAAAGTTGCTGAGTTACTGTTTTTTCTTAGTTGAAAGATGGTTTTATAATGTGACTTCTTGTTCTGAGACGCTGCCAGAGTAAAATCTGAGGGTATTCAACAGATCATAATAAGTTCACTGCTAATATTTTGAAAATAAAAATATTAAGAATAGGGCAGATAGGAAAAGCAAGGTGACAACACATTGATCTCTCCTAAGCTGATGAATAAAACTGCGTTGAAGAACTCAGTTTTGCATAGTGGAAGAGTTTTTTTGGTTTTTTTTTTGGTGGATTTTCAATTTTGGGACTTTGGGATCCTTCAGGAACAGGGCAGCCATATAGCTATGTATTAGGAATGCTCTACTTCTTTACAGTAACTTGTAACTGTTATTTTTTTGTGTCCTTCACATTGAATATATCCCTTTGTAGAGGTGACATCAGCAACTCGGTGCGCTAGTGAGGCCAGAAAGGAGGGAGAGTATGAGAAGAATTAGTTCTGGCCCAAAGTGAGAGCTCCACTGGTTCAGCAGCCACAGAAAGGATTAGCTCTAAGTCCCGGTGCTAAACATTGGTTTCAAACACCTCAGCAGCCCTGCAGAAGCCATCGCAGGTTCCTGCTGGGATTAAACAGCTCTGCTCAGTGCTGTGCTGGCCTGGGAGCCCCACTGCCCGTGGTTTGGGTAGGACTTGCTGAAAACGGAGATCATGTAGTTGGAGATTTTGTGTTAGCAATAATTATTGTCTCTCTTGGGTCCCTCTTGCACTTGCTCAAAGCTATTTTGTTGCGTGTTAGTGCTAGAATAGGGCAAAATACCAAAAAGAAAGCCATGAACATTTGTTCTCCCTTTTTAACTTTTTTCCCTTATCCCTTAAACACAGCAACAGCCTATGTGCTCACTTAGTCCATTTTGGCACATGATTTTCCATGTCTCCTTTCTGCACTTCATGCCACACACACATTTTCTGAGTGTAGTGATGGGAGAGGAACGTGCTCTGCGGGAAGGTGCTGTGTGAAAAGAACAGCCTTTATAGAGTGTTTAAACTAAACAGATATGGTGTTTAAACCATCACAAGTAGTGTTAAAAATCCTGTGTCCTGGAAAGGGGAAATGCTTGAATTCTTCATGGCGAAGGACTCTCTGACTGCTTCACAATATGGTGGACAGAATAAAAAGGGATTTTGGAGCTGTCTACACTTAGGTTTATTTTAGGGGCTGTTTTGCAGGGGGTGGCAGAGTGTCTGTGTAACTGATACATTCTGCAGCACCTTTTCTATCTTTGTGAAGTTGCAATTGGCATTTCAGAGTTTAGCATGTCAAAATCGCGCTTCAGTCCCCTTCAATCCCATGAAGTGGATTAGCTGCCAGAAGACGCCATGCTGGCTCCAGCACCACGCGGTGTGATGGTGAGGACGTGGGCAGTGTGGCCGAGGCACACTCCCATGGATGTGCTGTGGGCAGTGTCGAGGTGTGGCCACAGGCTGCCAGGGCTTGGTGCCAGCGTGGGCTGTTTGCTCATGGGACGGTCATAAATAGGAGAGGGCTCCACATGCTTGTAAGGGGACACCTCCACTTATGCACTGCTGCCTTCGAGTTCATTCCAGAAGTCGGTGTGGTGCTGTGTGTTGTCAATGCCCTGCTTAATGAAATGTGTGCAGACTGCGTTGTCATATCCTGACCCACGTAGGAGAACCCAGCCAAAATGAAGACACTGTTGTGTAAGTAGTAATGCGTAACTGATGAATAGCGTGACAGGAAAACTGCCTCTGTTAGAGCCTCATCCACTGCCCGTGGAGTCACCGAGGGTGGGAGGAGTGAGTACCACCATTGGGATGAGTTGGGGACCACGCCAAAGAGACAGCCAAAGGGAGAAAGTCCTGCTTTGGGGCAGGTGAGCTGCTTCATACCTGCACTATGTTATGAGGATAAACTGAGCACTGGATTAGAATGAGAGGCATGGTAGGCTTCCTGAAGATGTTTAGTTCAACCGTAAGGAGGGTGCGTGCACTACTGGTACGTTACCCATGTAATTGCAAATTCGTAAGAACATTCAAGAGCAAAACACATTTTGTGACCTACTCAAAGAACTATTTAATATATATAGCAGAAGGTAAGCATATTTTTGTTTCAGTATAAAGAAAGAACATTTTATCTAAAATTCTTTTATCCTGTATCAGCCATTAAAAATCATTTGTTACACCAGTTTGTAAAAAAAAAAAAAAAAGACTTTTCTGTACTTTGTTTATTTTTCTATTTGCATTCTTTATTACTTTTTTTGTTAGGTTTTCTCATATTTATTCTTTTATTTCCAGCTATGATTCAGAACATTATCCATTTATCCAGAGAAGCTAAATGCACTTCGAGCAGACAGCAACTACAGAGGTCAATGGCAGTTTCTTTGCTGGCTTGTAGGAAGGCCAGTCCCCAGTGCAAGGAGCTCAGTGCATGCCCACATTTAGCATTTTGATATTTGTGAATGAAATGCAGATGCGTTATTGAGTACTACTAATAAAAACATATTTCTTTCATGAATCATAAAATGCTGCCAAAGTATTAGTGCACATGTGCATTTGCATGACAAGATCAGAAATGTACTTGGACAGTCCCTACAAATGCATGGCATGCATTTACTTAAAAATTTATGACCAGTGGGGAAAACAGATTTTGAGAGAATGTAGGAAATCACTTCAGATTTGCAGATTATGTGCTCTGAGGAAGATCTCTGGTTTGCAGGTGATCCAAGTATGATAAGCCCTTTCAAGAGAGTTTAGTATTTGGGATTTCAGTTCCAATCTGAAGCATTTGAAGGAACACACATTTTCTAGACACGTGAGCACCATGCTTAACTCAAATGAAGCCACTTTCTCAGGCTTTGGCGGGCTGTGACATACACTTACAACTAAACATATGCTAACCTCCTTTTTTGAATCAGGATCCTGTTTTGAAATATTCTACATGTGTGAAGACATGGAGTTTCTAATCAGTTGAAGCCTTCTAGTTAATGAAATATCACAGAGAAGGATGGGATAATCCATATAATTCTCATGGAGTTCATTAAATCGTTTTGAAAAAACGACTAAACAGAGTTATATTTAGCTTGATACTCAGAAGTGTGATAGCATGCTTTTAATGTGACAGATTGGATATGGAAAGCAATATAAAACATGGGCTTGAGTGTATAGAATTTTTTATTTCTACAGCTTAAGGACATTGTTAAGATCCGTGTGCATTTTTAAGATCTTTTCCATCATTTAAGATTCAACTAGTGCTAGTTTGCCAAAAACATTCATCTTTATTAGCTTTCAGTGCTCTGTGCTCAGAAGTGAAGAAGGGGACCGTTTATTACCCTTATTTTTCTTTACAGTAGTAGCAAGAAGTGAAGACTGACTTTGTTTCTTTTGTTGGCATCGATATTTTTTGTTCTGAGACAAATGGGGGTATTTTAAGAGTGATGTTAACCTTTCAAAGAAACGACATCTTCAATCTATAGCTAAATAGTTATTTGTATACTTTTTTTCTTCTTTTTCCTTTCTTCCTCTCTTTTTCTCCCCCTAACAGGTGACATGTATGCAGTGGTTGCAAGGGGACCATACAATGCTGGATATGATTGAGAAAAAACGTTGCCTCTGCAAAGAAATAAAAGCTCGACAGAAATCAGAGAAAGGACTCTGCAAACAGGACAGCATGCCTATCTTGCCGAGTTGGAAAAAGAACACCGGGACCAAGAAATATAGCCCTCCTCCTTATTCCAAACAACAAACTGTTTTCTGGGACACTGCAATCTGAGAGGTGTGTGGAGGATGCTCTCTCCACCGCATTGCACCATGCACAGGCAGCCGGCTTTCTTAATGAGGCAAAGGCTCTAACTAAGACTTACCTGCAGGTGGTGAACTTCCTAGGAAAAAAACACACCTGTACAGTGCTCACCTGTCAATCAAAAGAGAGTTCTAAATTTCCGACTGGATTAAGGCATATATATTTATCCAGGATTTTTTTGGATCCAGAAGATATTAGAATGTAAATATTTTGCCAATATATTGAAAACACCCAAACTAATAACACTGCTGAAATATATATATATATATATTCAAAAATTTATGAAGAATTTTACTATATAATGTTACTGTTATATGGTTTTATTAACTATTTTCTATGTGGTATTCTAATGTTCCCCCTCAACCCCCACCACCATTTTATTTCTCCTACCTGCCTAGATTTGGCCTCTGTACAAAAGCATGTGGTTGTACATTATATTTAACAGGACAATGTACAAAACAACTCGGTGCTAGGGCTGTAGAAGTTACCTAGAGTTGTGCTTGTTAGACGTCCTTAGCTTTTTTGGAGGGAGGGCTGGACAAGGGAGAGAGTTTTGGTGTGAAACAGCAGAACTGCAGGCCATGCAAATGGGAATGCTCAGTGTGGATGCCCAAGTTGCGTTTACAGCACAAATTTCTCTGCGTCGGTTTTCTCACAAAGTTAATTACATAGATTGCCCTTGCTTTTATCCTCATCGGTTAATCTCCAACTGTAACTACTTGCCAACAAGGGAAGCTAAATTTTCTGAAGAAAACCCCAAAACAGAAACTCCTCCCCATGACATCCAGCTGGCTAGCGGAGACCAAGGTTCACTGTGACTGAGCGATGTACAGCCCGTGGCGAGGAGCCCGCTCGTTAGCAGGTTACAGCCGTGGCATTGCAGCCATGGCTCCTGTCTGCATTTGTCTTTGGTCCAGAAAAGAAGGGTGAAAAACCTGTTTACATGTTTATTAGTTTTCAATCCAGCAGCATGTCCTGTGTCAGATTACCGTGTGTTACCTATGGAGGTTGGCATTCAGCCCCCCTGATGGCTGGTACAGAAATCTCCCTCGATTTCACGTGGGTTAGAAGCAGAGGCCATGTAACATGTTCTCCCACATCTGCCGTGTCATCTTCCTGGCTGCCTCTGTAACTGGCTTAGAGTCCTGTATGATATTACACACATTTTGACAGAATATTATGTCATGACCAAAGAATTACGACCTCCTGGTTTTAACGGGAGAAAGAAATGGTTTAAGCTGATAATGAGGGTGAAATCCATGTGGTGAAATATCTTCCAGAAGAAGCTGTTGAGAACGAGGGAAGCTTGTACGGCTGTGGAGTGGGAAAAAAATTATCTATGGCATATATTTTGTATATTTAAATTTCTATGTGTCTGAAATTTGGTAGCACAAAATTCCTCTTTAAAACAATCATTTTAGTATTATATTCTGTGAGAAGAAAAGTTGTGTTGTTTAAAACTTCTTGTTATATCGGCTTTTCTTTGAAATTCTATTGACAGCATTGCCACAGCTGTAATTGCTGATCAAAAAACCAAAAATAACAAATTTTAGAAGTTTTTTGTAATCTATATTGCTAAAGTTTGAGTTTGAGTAATGCTTTATCGGTAGCAGTTTCTTTTCAGCCTCTGAAATAAAGTTTTTAAATATTTTATAACTAACTAATGTATATTTTGATGTCCAAACTGAGATTTCTGTAAAACATAAAGTGTGTGTTTATATGTGTGTATGTATATTAGCATTATTGTGTATGTGTATATGCATATGTATACACACATATATATGTATATATGCATGTATCTCTCTATATACTCATAGATGTGTGCATTAAATAGTTGTATGTTAAGGATATGCCGTGACAGGAATGGGTACGCAATTGAAATGCAGATTTAAAGACCCCCTCACAGCCCAAATGACAGAAGAAGTGAAAAACTCCAGAGGCTGTGAAGGAATCTTTGAATACATGTGACATCCGCTACACCAACTGTACATTCTGCTTATTCTCTTTTTTTTAAAAGAAAGAAAATGGCAGAAGAAAAACTCCAGAGATCTCGTAAAGTTTCCAGAATCTGCTGGAAAGAAGACGACTTGTTGGTTGTGAGAAATCTGTTGAGATAACAGGTTCATTGTTCAGAAAGCGTTTGTTCTTTGTCTTCCTTGTTAGGTGGCAAGAGAAGAACTTCTCGTAACCATGCATGAAATACTCAGCTCAGCTCTTTCCCCATCTGCACTAAACCTGCGGTGACGAAACAAAACCGCCGTCTGGCTGTGCAGTGACACCCACGAAGTGCTGGCTGTGCATCCCAACCTGTGGGTGAGCTGGGTGCTGCCATCAGAGCCTTTGGAGGGCAGCAATCATGGAAGAAAGCAGTTCAGTACCGTGTTCAGTAGCGTTTGTTCATGCCGTGTCCTTTCCACATCAACGCGTAATAGGAATAACGATCAGGGAATTGAAGCATTCTTGTCACAGACTTGCTTGTACATTCAGCCTGCCATAGAAGCCACCCCTTGTTTTGCTTTTATTGCTCAACACTATTTATGTTGTCCTTAAATAACTGCCCGTGTGCTTCCAGACCTCCATTGTATCCCATGGAAACAATGGCATTTTGTTTTAAAGTGCACCACTACGTGAAAAAGTAAAATAGAACTTAGCACTTACCTTCCAAGCACTTTAGAAATGTGGACTGAACCTCACGCTCGTGAGAATCGTTATGAGGAAGAGGGAGTGAGGCTTGGGTTGAGGAGTTTCCCAAGGTCACGGGCTCAGCCAGGGCACGACAGACGTGTCCTGGTGTCCTGTGATGTCTGGCCCACCCCATCACTCGTGTCGCAGCGCGTCGTGCCGCCTGCTGCGCGCCATCAGAATGCTGTTCAGATGTTCTCCACATTCCCTATCGTCTCAGCAGTTTCTGTGTCACAGGGTGAATGACAGTGCTTAGCTACGCGCAGTCATTGAAGCTGTAGTCTGTATAAATATGCAATCTGTATATACATACAGATCACATATATACACACACTTGCGAAGACTGTATATATGAAGTTGTTTGGTATGCACTTATTTTGCTTTAAACTCCTGAAGTTAAACATTATTGTGTAGCAATTTGTGTAAAGTGCACTGTGATTTCCAGAAAGCACAGTAAAGTCACAGGTCTTGTTATTCTTGCACTAAAAATGTGTTTACGTATATTAGCCAATGTATGTCTACTTTATTGCTCCTTTTGACAAAGCAAATGGTATACAATGGTATGGGTTCTTTTTTGTTTGGGTTGTTTATTTATTTTTAAGTGGACAACGGCACTATGTTTTTAAATGACAGGGTTTTTAAATGAAATGAAATCATTCTGTGTTCATTCCAGTGTAATACATTTACCGATATCTTAAAACTGAATGTCATGTTGCTTTTTTTTCATATTTCATTAGAAATTGTCAGGTATGTGCCTGAGATTGTGTAGGAGTAAGGAGTAGCTAGAGGCTAACTGTAATAATATATTACTAGCCGTTTCTATATACACAGTATAAATACATATTAATTTTCTTTTCATTTTTGTACTTGATTTTTTTAGGTAAGATGTAATTAAATGTACTTTGATACTTCTGAAGTAATAAGATGTTGTTTGAAGATCAATTCTGCTTTCTTTAGTGCATTGACAATATTTTACAATAATTTAGTGCTTATTTATTTGTGCTCCAGTGTAATTATAATAAAAAGCAATAGTTTAAAATATTTGGCTGTTCATTTTCATTTGATGGTTTCAGTTTAAAGCTGGATTGTTTGCTAGGAATTAGCCAGAGATTGCTTGGAAGAAAAGTCAAGTCACAGATGTATATTCATAGCATTTCCTGGACACATTTGTAATCGCATCGTTTGTTGGAGGAAGCGAACAAATTGCTTTAATAGGTTAAAATTTGCAAGTCGTGCCTAGTTGCATCTCATGCCATGACTGCCATCCTCAACTAAATCCTCGGGATAAAATTTCTCTGTAGAGCAGCAAAGAGTTTGTTTTTTTAAGTACCTTTCAGAGTTTGATAATGAAGATGGTCACATCAAAGACCCCTCTTCAAAGATCTCCCCGTGAGCAGAACACACACTGATGGAAGAGGGACCCATCTGCCATCCAAAAAGCTCTTAAAAAATCTGTTCAAAAAGTCAGTGCAATTTTATGTGTTTCCAGCCAGAATCTTTACTTCCATCACGATGTAAAGCCTACCAGCAGATGTCCTACCAGCAGAATTCCACAGGACAGCAGGGCAGGGCAGAGAAAAAAGTAGACCACCTGCAGAACCCCACAAACGATGCTGATCTTCTGTGTGACTGTTTTCATTACTTTGTGTCTTCACTACTTTGTTGTTGAAGTTTTGCAGCATGGATTCTCTGACTGAGAATCTTGTGTCCTAGTTTTGAAGATGAGATTCTATAATTTAAACTTTCCAAGAGGAAGTAAGGAGCAATTTTAAAAAGTACGCAGGAAAAAAAAAAAAAAAAAAAAAAAAAAAAAAAAAAAAAAAAAAACAGTAACATTCCTGCTATAGCACTGAGACCAAATGTCTTTCCATGCACGGAAAAAGCTTCTTTTAATATGCCAAAAAGATACTATCCATGTTTGCATAGATCTGTATGTAAAACTGATCCAGTGGAAATCTTCTGGTTGTTCTTTGTAGGCGCTGATTCCAAGTCAGGTTGCAGATGACTGAAAAAATGCTTTCTAAGAGCTTCCATCCAGGAGCCATGTGCTTTCCCGAGGCGCAGCCTCCCTCTTCAACATCAACCCCATTGCTAAGCTTTGCTGCCAGCTTCTGCTCCTCTTCTCCTCCCCAGCCCCTGCCACTGACAGTTGTTCAGAGTGACCCATCCTTCAAAGCAGCCTCCAGCCTTTTGTCCCAGGCTCGTTGTTTTGCAGATATATCCTATAAGGGGGACTAGAAATGAATGGAACAACATTTTGCAGGGAATTTTTTTCCCAAAGACCTCCAGATTTAAAAGAGGAAAAGAGAATGTCTGTCAGTTGAAGAGACAAACTGCGGCCTGTTGTGTTCAGTGGGACATTTCATGATATTTAGCCTCCTAGCTCCTGTCTAAAGACTTTGCAGCATGACTC